TGTTGTTCGCAGCGAGTCTACGGCGCTATCGACAAGATGATCAATTCGGGAGAGGTTAAAGTCGGTAGGGGAAACCTCTGTTACTGAAGGACATGGTATTGAATTTAACGATGGAGTAATCATTTCCTTAAATTTTGTGACAGCACTATCTGATAAACATCTAGTATAGTAACTGTTGCTGAGTGGCGTGTAATCGAGTAAAAAGAAATCAAAAGTAATCAAATAATGATCCGATAGCAAGGGATTCTGTGGAAAGACTGTTAAGTTATCAATTTCAATTCCATACTTCAGAACTAGATCGAGGGTACAGTTAAAACAGTGAGTGGGTTTATGTACACCCTGACTGAAGCCAATGGAGTCTAATAATGAGATAAACGCGGTAGCCATCTGATTTAAGAACTAAACTGGATAAAAACTACAAAAATACAAATTCAGAATACGGGCCAGGAGCACGGTATACTATAACAAATAAAAGTGGCTGCGAGGTTTTCCAGGTCGGATGTAAAAGACTAAGAACAAGACTTTCAAATGAATTATAATCTAGTTTAGGTTTAGGGCTGATTAACAGACTAGAGTTAAAAATTGCTGCAACTCCCCCTCCTTGGCCGCTGCCTCGAGGAACGTGGGTATTACTATGACTGGGAGGAGTCATTTAGACTAACATATTCATCTGGACACAGCCAGGTTTCAGTGAGACTGAGTAAATCAATATGATTATCTGATATTAATTTGTTTACTAACACAGCTTTAGACGATAGAGACCTGATATTTAACAGTCCGCATTTAATTCTCCTGTTTTGTCTTTCTGTCACAGAGGAGGTTTTAATTTTTATGAGGTTGTTATGCACAACTCCTCTTTGTTTAATTTTGGATTTAAATAATTTAGGTAGTCGGGGGACAGACACCGTTTGTATAAAACTATGAAAACTATGGCTGGGTAACTGAACTAGAAGCTCAGAGAGGCGTATAGGACTGCGACTCTGAGTCCTGATCTCAACTCTGGGTTGTCAGGGATTTGAATTACTAATAAAATTTGCCAGGTTCCTAGAAATGAGAGCAGCTCCATCCAAAGTGGGATGAATGCCGTCTCTCCTAATAAGACCAGGTTTTCCCCAGAAAGTTTGCCAATTATTAACGAAACCCACATTGTTTGCTGGACACCACCTGGACAGCCAGCGATTAAATGATGACATGCGGCTAAACATGTCATCAGTGGTCAGATTGGGGGGGGGGGCAGAGAAAACTACGGAGTCCGACAACGTTTTTGCATATTCACACACCGAGGCAATATTAATTTTAGTGACCTCCGATTGACGTAACTGGGTGTCATTGCCACCGACGTGAATAACAATCTTACTGAATCTACGTTTAGCTTTAGTCAGCAGTTTTAAATTTGATTCAATGTCACCCGCTCTGGCCCCAGGGATACATTTGACTATGGTTGCTGGTGTTGCTAACTTCACGTTCCTCAGAATAGAGCTGCCTCAGAATAGAGCTGCCAATAACCACGCTAATACGCTGAGTAGGGGAAAGTGGTTGGAAACATGAACAGGCTGGTGGTGAGCCGTGGGCTTCGGCTTGGAGCTATGCCTCTAGTGAACGGTTACCCAACCTCCTGGCTGTACGGGTGTTACCGGAGGACCACTAGCAGAGGCTATGCTATGTGGCTCCGCACCAGCTACAGGGGACTGGCTAACTACCGCAGCTACTGAATAGTTTTCCATGGTGCGGAGCCGCGCTTCTAATTCACTAAGCCTCGCCTCCAACACATCAAATAAGCTACACTTGTTACAATTACCACTGTCGCTGAAGGAGGCAGAGGCATAGCTAAACATTTGGCACACCGAGCAAGAAAGAGCAGAAGGAGAAGCCATCGCTAACTGTAAAGCTAACGTTAATGTAGCTAACAAGGCTAGTAACATGCAAACAACAGCTAAGAGATTAGTAGGGAAGTCGTAAAAAAGGAGGAGAGCTATAAGTGCTTAAACAGAACTAGTGTGGGTTAAGACTTGAAGTAGATGTTAAAGCAACTGAAGTGAGAAAGCAGAAAGCAGAAAGCAGGCTAGTAGAATTCACTAGAGCAGTACAAAGACGCTGTCACAGAAACACCGGAAATGACACAACTCGCTTACCGCAATACGTCAGCACGTCAATCCAAACACCATTGATGATAATTATTACTGCGATTAGATCATTCTGATTAATGAATGACCATTAAGACATGTTTCTGATAAATATTTTAATGTGCACAATAATAACCTTTGACATTGTAATCATATTTTTATTTCTTATCTTTTGCATATGTGTGGCTGCTCCGTGTGTGTCTGAGCAGAGTGCACACGCGTTGTGCACCCGCCTAGAGACGCATACTACTAACTTGTTTAACAGCGAAATCCTGCGCCGTTGACTTTAGACCAGGTTTTTGTTGGTCACTGGCGCATTTGCTTTTTACATCATCTAACTAGCAACGCGCCATGACTGCGCCTGACCATTCCTCATTTTTAGACCAACACACCCAGAGAAGCGCAAGTTCATTTGCTAGTTTGATGTCGAAGGTGCAGGGCATGAAAATGAGAACTGCGCCTGCATCTAAATAGCAATGACACTTGCGACATGGATTATGCGCCCTCCGCCGTCCGCTTTAGACCATCAAAACAGGGCCCTAAAACTTCCCCAGGGCCTCCGTCGGCATATGGGTGAGTAGCTAGATAATGGCTGAATTTTCATTTTTGGGTGCACTATCCCTTTAAATGTGTCATTTTTCTTCTGGGATCATTCTCAGCTAGTGGTTCTTATGCTGCATTCTATTGGTAGCCGGAACCAGGACTGATACGGTTTCCGGTCCGGAAAGGTACAAAAGAACACCCGGGCTGCGTCCCAAAGGCCAAGTAGTATGGATTGTAGTAGACCAAATTAGTATGTAGTATGTCTGAAACCGTAGTAGGGAGGAGTAGTATGCTAACACCCCTACTAAACATGCCTACATTGTAGTATGATGGCAGAGCATACTACAGGGCTACTATTTACCCAAAATGCACCACGGGCTTCTTCTTCGTCTTCTACTTAATTGTAGATGTTGCACGGCATGTTACCGCCATCATCAGTCTCCTATTTAAATGCAACGTGTTCGCTGCCCAGCAAGATTCAAAACATCATGGCAGAGCAACGGCAGTTGCTGGTTATTTATATATATATATATATATATATATATATATATATAGATCTGTACGCCTCCTATGTGCAACAAGCTAAAGATTTAAGTTGCACAAATATACATTTATCAACACACACAGTTTTCATTGGTCAAAAATGTATTTCTGCTATTATGATTATGAACAAAGCGGTCTGCTTTATACCGGTATTAAGTTAGTTTGATAGTGGACATTAACATTCGTTTGACATTCAAAATACAACAACAAACAACAATAATAAAATAAGTAATGATAATAATAAATACTAGTACTGTTAAAACAAATGATGATAAAGTTTGGCATAATGAAAGTACATCATGGCAGAGCAGTTTTCGTCATTGTACTGTGTGAGGTGACAGGTGTTCAAAGTGACTCAGCCTACACACATGACAGAATGTGCTGGTGGAAATGCTGTATCTAGATATTGATATTCAGTGAACTAATCACTTGATTGACACATGATGTTAGCATTGTGACACTTATGAAAAGTGATGATGATTGTCATCACCATAACAGGTTGGATTATTTCAAAAACAATATAAAGGATCTCCAAAGTGCAAAGTTTTGAGTGTGGCATGTCATGTCATTGCTTACTGTGGCAGTGAATTAATTATTATGTGCAAAAGGAGGCGTCTGCAAGCCCTGGCTCGCCTACGCCTCGCATTTTGCATGTTGAGAAGCATGAGAGAGCTTGCAGACATGTTGCTGGTGGGTAAAGAGTGGCCAGCTTCATTTCTGGGCAATTTCAATAGTCACAGGTGCGTTCAGATTTTGGTGCAGTACCTCTGCTCTGCCAGCAGATGGAGTGCCTACGAAAGCACCCCATCTGCTGGCTTGGCTGAGGTACTGCAACAAAATCCACATGTGCAGTACCTCTGCTCTGCCAGCAGATGGAGTGTTTTCCCACCAATCTTTTAGTATATCCGAATGGACCCAACTTGTTTAGTAGGTAGGAGTAGCATCTAGTGGTAGTACGTAGTAGTAGTATGCAGTATGCCAGTGGGCCTTTCCGTTCTACCCGGAGGTCTCGTCATCAAACTCGGGCAAGGTCCACGTAGACCGAGTCGGTAGAATTGACGTCACGATGAAGATGGCTGCGCACATTGTGAATGGTAAACAAAGTTATTTGTTTTAATTAAGCATTTGTGTTGTAAAAATCATACAAGTACTTTGCAATAGCATTTCTGTTTCCACTGTTGATTTGTGTTGGAAAAAAAGTCTGTGCAAGCCCGTTGTAGCCTAAAATCGTTTGAACCAGCAAAGTCTCCGTTGCTCAGCAACCATGCAAACAAAAACAAACTTACGGCGCGCCGCCATGTTTTACGGACTGTTGCAATGAAACGCTTTCAGATCAGACGTGTCATACGGTCATATAAATCCGACAAGGAATGACCGGCCTGGATTGCCAAACGAATGCGGCATTAGCTGTGGTATATTCGTGAAGCTCAAACAACACATGTCCACAACATAACGCAGACCTAGGGAGGGTGTGGTCAACAATAAAATCACAAATATCAGACCAAGGTCAACATTTATTTGTTTACTTTTATCCATTTTTTTTTTAGCTTTTTTTGTAACTTTATTCAAAGTTTGCAGTGTACAAACAGTGTACAATTAGTCATTCCAGTTCACCATTTGTGCAACAACAGCAACAAGGTTTACAGATATATGAAAGCATGATAAGGATCATTTACAGTATATCAGTATAACAGTATACAGTATGCATGTTTACTTTTATCCATGATTTCCAAAAATCTAATTCATGACGTAAGTGCATTTCAGACAGGCGTGAATAATCGATCCCGGAACTCAGGCAGGGCAGAGCAATGTTTTCATGCCTGCGCTAGTAACTCTGCCATGGCGCCCGTAATGTCACTGATTAAGGAGGGGACTTCGTAGCATTGCGTTTTTATTCGCTTAAGTAAAAAGTATCCTGTACGTTTTGCTACTCCTGGTTTGACTCGAACCACATTTATCTTTGAACCCGCCATGACTGTGGAGCAGAATGTCCTCCAGCAGCATTCTCAGAAGGTAAAATGTTCAGCTTAACGTTACCAAAGCTAACTTGGTGGCTAGCTAACTTTAGCCTAACTGTATAGCCACTTAGTTTTAGGGTTCAAAGTATCCGCAGAGTTGCTTAGCAAGCTCCTTGGTTAGTTAGGTTAACACTGTGTTGTCGTTTTATTTGGGTTAAGTGCCATTTTAAAGTAATTAACAAGTATAATTAGTAGTAAATAGCAAGTGCAGTTATTGAAGCTGGGCCCAACGTTATCCCAGCGTAAATCGTTATCCAGTATTTTGCTGCCGTTTACGTAAGCTAACGGTACAACGTAACGTTAGCTAACGACAAAGTAAAGTTAAACCATAGCGTTTTTGTTAATGTTTTGTAACGTTAACAGTAGCCTCCAGTGTCAATGTTACGTCGTTACCTCTCCTGGTAACATTAGCTTCTCGGGCTAACTGTGTCGTAAATTGAAATAAACAAGGCCAAGTGACAGTGGCGGATTCAACGTTGTGATAGAGTTGTCAACACGGAATTACTACAAGAGCAGCTCTTTATTTCACTTTGTTAATAACGTTTTCGCCAATTATAGTTAGTTTGGAGTAGTATATACTCCCTGTGTCTGTGTGCAAATGTTTCCTCGTTATTCATCTCTGATCTGATTATCTTTGTTTACAAAGCATGGCCAGCGGAGGAGATAGAAAACAGCCAGGATGCTTGGCTGGGATTGAGTAGCCAGATACCAAGCCAAATGTGTGATGGTTCGTAACCGAGAAGGCACACTATTAGGTTGCATTTGCTCATGCTGAGTTTACGAGAGTGCATTAAGGGGCGAGTCCGTTGCTCATGCTTTTAGTTATGTGGTTTACTCTTTGACCACCAGCGTTGCATAGCTGTGGTTAGTTATGCAACCACTTGGCTGACGTTGCTTAAACATTAGTTAGGTTTGATGTTTACTCCGCCCGTCCAAACGCAAAAACATAAGTTTTTTTTTTTTTTAAATATACTTTATTACGAGCAATATAACAGCATAACTAAAGATTTATCAAATCATTACAAACATTTAAATATCAATACTGTACAAAATAGATATGTGAAAAACAAATGAATTCAATCACAGAACAATACCAGAGTGATGTCATAGAGGAAAAAAGGAAGTAAACTTTGGAAAAATAAAGAAAATAAATAAAGAAAATGAAAAAAAAACACAATTAGGATCTGCTAAATAATAAGACTGAATTGTTTAAATAAAAAACATAACAGTTTAGCAGAAGAGTCGGGTTTTTTTTTCACCACACTGTAGTCCAGGCTTGCTCTGTAGCATAGGCGTACTGTGTTAAACCAAATGTAATACAGCTCACCTACCAAAAAACTTAAATTAGAAGTGTGTGATCAGTATTTGATGGCTTGATGAGTCAGAAAATAAAAACTTAGCCTTGTGTTGATGACTCATCCTTACAAATTGTCTAGGGCTGAACGATATGGAGAAAATTTCATATCTCGATATTTATGCCAGATATCTCGATACCGATACGATACGATATGACTATGGGTTCAGTGAAAACTAAGCATTCTTTATAAAAAATTAAAACAAATAAAACGAGTCCGAACCATTTTCTGGAAGCCCTCTTTAGTGACTGAATGCATGGGAATCATGTGTAGCAATATGGTACGTTATAGCATTTGTAATGTCTTTGTGCCTGCTGGACGTCGATTGGTATGGCATTATGCTACTGAATGCATCGGCAATCTGACCTTGCTTGGGCTTGACACAGGAGGACCCAGATGTCCCTGCCGTGTCTTTTAATGCAAGGCATTGTTCATACAGTCCTCGGTAGTGTTGTCACTGTACCAAAATTGGGACCCACAGTATGATACCAGTGGAAGTATCATGGTTCTGAGTAGTATCAGGATACCACAGCCAAAATGAGGCAGATGTGCCTTTTGTCATTTATAAAAAGATAAATCACTTTTCTATAATACATCAATGATATTTCAATGGAATAAATTACTTATTGACTTATTCATACTTCAAAAACAGCATCAATCAGTGATTAACATAGGGGGGATCAAAATAAAATAAATAAATAAAATAAAAATCAACCAGCCACCCTCCTCCCCTGACAAGTAAAGAACAGTCCCTTCATAAGTAAAGAACAGTCCCTAAAGTGCGGTGAGGTTTGTGGA